ACATGAAACACTTGATCTTCAAACCAGCCTGAAAAAAAAAAAAGTAAGTAGCAAATCACTTTCATTTGTCCAATCCTCCTCCTTGTTTGAAAGGACAAAAACTGTGTTATACAAATCAATAATGCTAAGCTATATATATTCTCATGCCCTGTGAAGCAACTACAGAAGTTGCCCATGCACTGAGCCACATAACTTTTGATGTATAGCTAGTCTAAATTCTATAAATAAAAGTTCATTAACTAGAAATAGATTCGAAAGTAAAACCTTTCATTTTTAATTCCACAGTACATGTTAGAGTATAGAAAGTACATGTATTAGGAAATGTTTCATTTTATGGCCCTATATAAATCTAAGGTTTTATTCAACTTTATTGAGATATAATTCACATACTAGGCAATTCACCCACCCAGTGGTTTTTAGTATATTTACAGGTTGTGTAGCCACCACCATGATCTAATTTCAGAACATTTTCATCACCTTAAAAAGGCTTCTATTAGCCTATTTGCAGTCTAAGAGTTATTTTATGTCATTATCAAAAACATGTTCTCATAATCAGTGTTATTCCAGATTCTATCATGTTAACATATTTAATCCAATGTAAAAATGGTTTTAGTGTAGAACAATAAGGAGGACAGGAAAAAGTATACTGACTTACCTTCTGCTAAGACAAAGCACGCCTCTGTGTATAACCCGCTATGGAACTGGTAAACAGCAGTTAAGGAAAATAATTCTGTTTCTATGCTTGAGGTAGTGATCCAAGTCAACAGACATTTTGAGCCCAACAGAACTTCTAAATAATAATTCAAAGACTTCCCATTTGAAATATAGCTTAGATTATAGCTTTAAAAATTTTGGGTTTAAATGTCCCCATGTTTAATTCTAAGATGTAGGTTGGTAATACTGACAGTTTGGGTCATTCTTACCATGTTACAAACATCCTCAGTGGTTTCTCTGGATTCTCCAAAATAAGGGGGAATTAAAGTTGTTATGTCTCTGTTTAGGATTATGTCTTTATATTCCTACTCCACCAACATATGGAAGTTACACTGGGAACCCAAATAGGTAAATTTGAGAATAATATATAATCAATTTCCCCAATTCATGTAACACAGATTTTAAAAAATAAATTAAGTGAAGGATATAGCTTTACTAAGATCTAGTTGTACCGTTCCAGTAGGATCTTCCAGAAAAAATTTTCCCTAAAAAAAAAATACATACTCACATTTATATGAAAATAAATACTAAGACACAAAAATTAAACTACCGACAAGACTGATAATAGAACACAGTAGAGAGAATAGTGGATTTCAGAAATCAGCTATTATTTCTAGTCCAGGGTCTTTCATTTACTAGCCTGGTCACCTCAGACTAATGACTTAATTGAGACTCAGACTCCTCAGAGGTAGCCTAGGGAATGACTTGCAAAACATAGGACAATACGAGGGACACCAGTAAGCTCCCATAAAGAGGGCCTCACCAGGTCCTTCTAAGAAAGCCAACAGTGTGTCCAAGAGACCAGGATGTAGTCTGCAGCTTGCTTGTTCAGAAACCCAGTACTCTCAGTTCAGCCAGAAGTCACTGTGGGCCTAATTTAAGGCTATACAAACTGGACTCCCACACAAGTCACTCCTTCCTGATGTCTACTCAGGAAACCAAACACAGACCAAAAGTATTGGTGACTGAGCTGCATCTTCAATGAAGAATACATTCCTGTACACTCTGTAGAAATACTCTATGTAACCAACAGTTCATCAACCCAGGGCAGAAAATAAAAGTCTGATGCTTATTAAGTTTAACTTACCTCTTTTAACTGGGTTATCATTCCAAGAATAATCACATCTCCAATTTTGGTTGTACTACCCAATAAGGTTTCTATTGTTTTCAGCTAAAATAAAACAAAATAAATTCTTATTTATTTTAGAGACACAGTCTTTCTATGCTGCTACGTTACCCAG